AAAGCTTAATTTTAAGTGCAATACCATGCACCAACTTCTGTTTGCTTCCGTTTCTTGATATACTTCTATCAATATTATTACGAAATTCCAACAAAATAACAAAACTTCCCAAATCTGTCGTATTTTGAAAAACACTCCGTTCTTCTAAAGATGCACTTCTCCCCGTTTAATCATTTTACAAGATTTAAAACTAAAAATTCAAGCATCTTACAGACAGTACATATATATGTGCGCAGGCCAGACTGAATGATCTGATCAGGGAGCGTAAGGAAATTGCAATACCTTCGCCGTTTCATCAATGGTATTGTTGCGCGACACCGCGTGGCATTCACAGTTTAATGCGGTTCCATTTTGTTGCAAAATTCAGTATCATTTATAAATTGGAGTCCTGCAACGTTGCCCTTTGGCGCTTGTCTCGGAAACATTTTGTTTATGAATTGGCAAATTTTCAAAATGAGATTTTTTTCTGCTTTTGCTTTCGAGTCGCAATTTTCCGTTCGCCAAATGCATTTCCCAGGCTGTGATGGTATTTGTGTATCATAAGCGTAACTGGAAAAGTTTCGCAATTTCGTTAGCATCTTCGTTTTCCTTTCACATTTCATTTTGGATTTTTCATCACTTATGGTATTTTTTTTGACTTTCTCATGTTAGGTCGTGCGGGATGTCTGATTTCGTGTCGCAACTTTCACTGTTGTTTTACTGTCTTAATGCTCTACGTTTGTCTCATATCTGTCTGATTTTCTTGCCATGGTCGTTTTTCTTACTGAACTTTTCAGTTTACGTCTTTGCCCGATAATCGGTATAAACTTATCGGAATGACAGACGGCACAGCAACATTAAATGGGCAGAGGTATTTTTCCGCTGTTTTAAACAAGTCTTGTAAATTCTTTAAAACATTTATTAAATTTTCGAGAAGTAACTTTTTCTGCCGCAGTAAAGTATTTTTAATATGAGTATTTTGAGTTATAAAAATGAAGCAGTTTATTCTTTTCTCTTTTGTTTCATATTTACATTACTTGTGTTTTCTACAGGTTACTGTTTCGATTTCATTCTACTTTTCTAAGCAGTAGGCGATATTTTGCTTTTAATTTATTTGCGTGATTTTATGTTAAATATTTTCTTAGGGTTAATTACGTCTTTCACTATGTATTTACTTCGCTCTTTATGTGTCAAAGTTTTTAATCCACTTTGCACTAATTTAGGAAAGCCGCTCCAGCGAAAACAGGGTTTTTCCTGTGTTACGAATGTGGGGAAACATTTCATGTTAAAGCAAAATATGAGGAGCATATACTGCTACATCAAGCAATTTTGTTTTGTTACCAAATATTTGAATATGAGAATGCAAAGGTGACTTTGAAATCTCGAACATGACGTGCTCCGTTATTTCTTTTGAGCTCTTTAATCTAAGTTTCTAGAACTTTTATGGAAATTATAACTCACTCTTCCAGTAACTTAAAAAATTTCAGATTACATCCCACAAAGAAATTGAGGGTGGAAGGGCTTTTAAGAAAGGAACTATTCCAAGAAGAAATACTTTTGCTGATTTGCCCCGAAAACGCTCTACTCAGTCCCCGGAAGTTACGTCAGCTAGGAGGAAAGCTACGTACCCCGGTACCAGGCCAGAAAGACCGTCAACTGTCAAGGCACCGAATGCTGGAAGAAGTAAGGATCCAAGGAGAAAGAACGGTGTAGCGAAATCTCCTGGACCTCTTACGAGCGAAAAAAATCCCAGACGAAAATTTGCAGCTACAGTTGGTAGTCCTTTGATACTATTGCGTGAGCGAAAAATTTCAAACAGTAAACCGTCTAAACGTAAAAAAGGAGAGGTACCTGAGAACGAAGAAGCCCCAAGAAAAGTAGGGAAGGTATATGAGTCACAGATGTCAAGGCTTGATAGTACAGAAGGTACGATTTATTGAGTTTAAGAGGGCTTTTTTCTAGATTAGCTCTGCTAAGGCTTCTAAAGTAGTATAATTTTTTGTATTTAAGGTGTTTAGGAAAATAAGCGGAGCCAATTTGGGACTTTGACTTTGTTAAGTCTGTGCTATTTCGGTGTTATTTTGTAGTTCTGCTGTTCCAGGTAATGGCGAAAATCCAACATGTTCATCGACTGATGCAGAAAAGAATTATTCGGATGCTGCAGTAACAATGAACGGTGCAGTAGTTTTTAAATTTACTGTTTCGCTCATAAGTGCCGTAAATCTTGTAATTTGAGACAAAGGCTTAAAGCGTTTTTGTGTATTATGGAACTTACAGTTTTTAATGATTCTGATTTCCCAGTTGACTTTTCTTACTTTATACTCTATATCATCATTTCAGGTGAGGTTTCGGAAAAATCTGATGGTGATGTTAAGGATATCTCGATCGAAGACAGAAGTTTTGGTGCCACATCGTCATCGATGTCCACCGCCTCATCGTCTTTCACTTCCTCCTCTTCATCATCATCATTTTCTTCACCTTCTTCTGATTCATCGTCGTTCTCATCACTTTCTTTTGATGATATAAGTTCAAAGAGAAGAGCAGTTTCGAGGGCAAAAGGACAAAACAGAGACCGTGGGAAGGAATATGGTAGGAATAAAGTAACAACGAGTATTAAAAGTGAATTAAGGGACGGAAATGAGGAGGACACATCTGTGACAACTGGTATTGACAAAGATTCTTTAGAAGGTTCTGAACATGAAAGCATCAATACAAGTTTTGGAAAAATTGAAACCTTACGTACAGAAAGAAGCCTTGATAGAAGTGTTCGCGAAACGAGTGGCGTCCAAGAAAGTAAGTTAAGGGGTCGGGGAGCTAGATCAGCTGATGGCGTGGTTTCACGAACTAGTGGGCAAAGGAATTGTAAACCAGAGAGGAAAGGGGTGAACGGAGTAAGAGGTTTGGAGAAAGTTGGTCCGAAAAATGCAGTCACAAACTCTTTCACCGCAAGAGATCCATATTTAAAAGAGAGTAATTCACGGAGTTCAGCTTCTATTGAGACTACATCGTCTAAGGGAGATGAGAGTAAAGTTTCACCACAAGCAGGAAACAACAGTTTTATTCTTGGCCAGAAGTGTGTTGCTTGCGATTTTGTCAGCTCACAAGGATCAGAGATGATTGAGCACGGTTAGTGGGGTTTCTCTTGACTTATTATTAATTTTGTTTTTATTGTTGTTACTATGATTACTACATTTATTACTTTCAATTATTGTTGACGTACTGCTATTATCATCTTGGTTGTTTCAGTGCCAGAGCTGATGCTTTGTTAGGCGTGTGTTAGCGTTTTGTATTTGGTTACATAGTGTTAGGTTTTTGATTTTACCTGTTAGGGTGCGCTTTTGATAATTGCGCCCAATCATTTTTGGTGGTTCGTTTGGGTCATTATTTTCGATATCTGGTATATTTTCTCCCGATGTTTTATGAGGATTTCATTGGTTACTGACCATTTAAGGTTTTAGACTGAATATTTTAATTTCGTGGAGTTTGAAAAGCAGGTGAAATGTGGTGGATTCTTTCAGTGACAAGGCAGCACAATGCTTCGGTTGTGAGGCTAGAGAAGAGGGATTGTGTGGATGGTGTTTGGTCGGAAAGCAATGAAATTGAGCCAAATGAGGTATATTTTTTGTTGTAGTTTCCTTTGCTTGTTGAAAGTCAAGTTCACCAGAAAAATTGATTTTCAATTTCAGAAATGCGGAATCTGTAATCGTTACTTTGATGAACCCACGAGTTTCTTCATTCACATCCTCATTTGTCACAAAGGGAACCTATTTGCTCCTAAAGCTGATCGATTCACGTGTACCGCGCACTTGGCTCATCCAGACTTGCCAACTCATAAAATTAATATCACTTTGAAGAGGCCCCGTTTTTCATTGTAGGTTTTTAGAGGATTCTAACTACAGCTGAGGTTATCTTGTATTTGGCAAAGAACAAGTTTGTAAAGGTGCATTAGTAAGTCAGTATTTGTAAGACTCATGAAGTTCTTGTGTAATTGTTTTGGAATTCTCAATTATGTTATTGATCTCATTTGTTGTACATTTGAATTTGTTGTTGGTTGGAATTCTCTCCGAAGATCTTTATTGTGTGCCTTTTTCCAGTCTAGTTATTGTACAGTTTGAAGATATATATGTATGTAAAAATTGTTGTGTAAAAATATAAAAGTTTTTACTTTATCAGTAAAGATTGAGTAATGGTAATAACAGTTCCTATTGTGTTTATCGAGTTATTGTTTTTCTTTCAATGCCTGGGAATGACCTAGAGGCTGTAATGTTCTGAGTTCGGCAGACACGGGTAAATGGTAGCAGTTTTGGGGCAGCTTTTGTTTTTAGTTAGGGAGGATTCCAGCATCTGAATTCTGACGGACGTTTTGGGTCATTAGTCAGCACTATTTTGAGATCTTCAGATTTGAGAGGTCTTGAAAAGTTTTTGCCGTGGGTCGGGTGTATGCTTAGGTTCCTTTGTAGTATGCGCGGCGATGGTCGGAATGTTAAGGCTTAACGATGCAGTGTTGGGGAAATCCTGATCCTTCCATTTCCAGTCTCTATGAGTGAACAAGCTCTTTCGTTAAACCCTCGAGTGAATGTCAGCTCTAGCTGTGTAAAGGGTGGAGGAATGCTGGAGGATTTGTTAGTAATTTTTAAAGTTGAGAGTCATTATTGAGCAGATGTGTTTTTGTTGAATATAGGTGTTTCTTTTAAAAATTAAAGTTGAGTTTGTTGGCATATTCGTTAAGGGAAGTGCTGCTTAAGGTGAGTAGCATTTGGGAAATACAGGTGCTGTACTTCACAAAAGAGAGGAAGCAGGTTTTTCATGGATTTCTCGCGAAGCTGCTGAGTACTCAATCCAGAGTTGAATTATCTTTAACTGTATTAGGAAGTTATCATGGGGAATTCCAACAAGCTTTGGCCTCTTGAGCGTTTCTTCTAACAAATTTGTTGCCAAGTGCTACTTTGAGAGGTTTTTTGCTGGTTAACAGTTTACTGATGTGTATATTCCTCGCTCGTTTCTATTTGCTTGAAGCCCATAGAACTTGTCGTACAGAACGGTCTTTTGATGGGAAGGTTTTGGCTGCTATCGGTTGCGCACATAATTCATTTTCTTATAGGAGATGCGTACCAAGTGCGCATGCTCTAGTAGTGAGTGAGCTCTGAAGACGTTCTTATCTGGATATTAATTTTTTCCTTCAGTATCTTCAGTTAGATGACTATTAGTAATTTTAGGATATTAAGCCATTTTTAAAAGATGTTTTACCATATACCTCTGGAACACGAGATTTGCCTACATCCGAAGTATTTCGGCCCAGACCTACTGGAGACGGTCAAAAGAAAACTCTTTAATGAAGTTGAAGGGACTTGTACGGGGAAGTACGGTTTTGTTGTTGCGGTTACAACCATCGATAATATTGGAGCAGGATTGATTCAGCCTGGTATCTTTCTGCATTTTCTCTGACTTGACTGGATGGTGAATTGATGTGATGTTTGGCATTGCCCTCTGCGGGGTATTCGTTTGTTCATTAAAGTGCTTCTTTTACAGTTTCTTGAGAGTAGTTTCAGATATTTAATATTTCGGTATTCAGGGCGAGGTTTTGTCTTATATCCGGTCAAATACAAAGCAATTGTTTTTCGTCCATTTAAGGGACAAGTTGTGGATGCAGTGGTTAATCAAGTTAATAAAGTAGGTTTCTGTTCCTTTTTGGCTACAAGTTGGTAGTTGTGAGGTAGTCTTAAACTTTTTGAAATTATGAATAACTGATTGGTTCTGAATTTTTGAAGCAGGTTTTATGGTTATTACTGTGGCTCTCCACTACTCAGTTCTTAGTTATGATTATTCGTGACTAATAAAATTTTTTTCCAGCATTATGAGTTGTAATTGTAGTTTTGAGTCTGGATTGTTAATAAATTCGGATTTCAAATAAGTTTTTCAGATACTTATGAAAATGCAGGAGTAGTTAAATTTTTACTCTTTTAGGTAGGACTGTTTTGTGATATTGGTCCTCTACAGTGTTTTGTCAGTCGACACTGTATTCCACCAGATATGGAATTTGAACCCAACTCAAACCCAGCCTGTTATAAAACTCAGGATGAAAGCGTTGTTATAAAGCAAGATGATGAAATCCGAGTGAAATTAATTGGCACACGTGTAGATGCTTCTGATATATTTGCAATCGGAACATTAATGGATGATTATCTGGGCTTGGTTGCTAATGAATAATCGTATTGTTGTATATATTTGAATAATTTTCTGCTTCCAGTTGAATAATTTCATTTGGGAGTTCTGGATCGTCTTTCACTTTTTTACCATGTTTTTATCCTGCTTTTTTTTTTTGGCTATGTTGACTTTTCTTTTGGCTCTTAAACGGTTCTTCGGGGCTTGTGAGGGATTTTGAATAAGAGAGCCTAGTTTTTCTCATTCGACTTATTGTTTTCTTTACTTTATTTACTAATTAGATTAACAATCAAAGGTTTTCATCAGTAGAGTGATGGCGACTTCCACAGATCAATTTACATCGTGTTTCGTTTTGGAAAATGACTGCTTTTTTTGTTTGGGATGAATCTGAAGTTTGAAAATGTTTATCGATTTTAGTTGTCATGCGAGCCGTAAATTCTGACGGTTATTGGCTTTTTTATCCGATTTTTCTGAGCAGAAAGTAACTTTCTTTTCCTCTAGTACCGCCACGTCTGATCCTCGTGGTAAGCGGTTAGCCTCGTTATGACGATCGGTTTTTTGGCAAGAAGGTTTACATCACAGTTTATAAAAAGTAGAGAGAAATTTTTCAAGGCTCGACCTCCTATAGCTAAGGATGTATTGAAATTGGCTGGAGGCCTGTTGTTTTTTCAGGCTGGTGCGGCAGTTATTATCGAGTAGGCATTTTCATTTTAGTATGGAAAGTTGTTGTTGTATTTTCCCAGTTTTATTATAAGGACTTGTTTACGGTATATTTATTTTTATAGTTTTTAGGGAGTTCGGGTGTCCTACGCCAGATGTAATATATGATTTTAAGATGATGTTCTCGGAGGAGTTCCGAAGTTTTTTTTATTATGGGAAACGTAGTTCGTTGTTGTTGAAAGACTCCAACGCAATTCGCGACTATAAGGCTGATCGTGACCACGTTGTGAGTATTCGAGTTCACAGTCATGAGGGGAAGTCTATTTCTGTTACGTAGTGAAGTTTACTCTACTTTTTCTTGTCCCAAAGAAGCAGGTTTTGAAGTTGGAGCATACTAAAGAAGTAGATTACTGCTTTAATCCGTTTTTTGTGTTACAGTTTATAGTGTTTGAATGACGCAGCAGTTTGTGGTCTTACTGGCTTTATTGTTTTTGTGAAAAATATAATTACCACATTAAAAGTAGTCATAAGTGTGTCTTAATTTACAGTATCCGTAAAAAAATTCATATTGTAACAACTTAGGAAATCTGGTTGATCTATGGAATTTAAATGAAATCATAATGTTATTAAAGATTTTCGCCAATATCAATAATTTCCTGGATAAGGAAATCTAGATCTGCTTCTGTTATGGCTTGGCTGGAAATAATCATGCGGAAGAAGTTGGGGTGTTGTTTGTGAGGTTGGTACCCAACCATAGTTGTGCCTCGTTCCATCATTTTTGCTTTTATCTTCGGAGCCACCTGCAGTGAAAAATTAAGATTTAGAAGTAAGTTTCAACGTCTGAAGTTGTTCGAGTGTGCTCTTGAGTAGTTTTTTTTTTGGCAGGAGTTGGTCAAGTTTTTTTTTTTGTTTTTGTGATTGGTTAAATTGCGCGTTGAGGTATTCTAACGACAGCGAACTTACTTTGTCTAGCCTGGCCTTTTTTTCTTTTTGATCAAGGTTTCGGAGGCCTTGCGGGACATACCAGAAACATATGTTAAGGTATTCAGGCTGTAAACATACCGGTTTAATGGCAATTAAAGAAGTTGAAAAGTCTTTTCAAAACTTACATCTCTAATAACCATCTCGTAACCCTCAGTTTTTTTAATTTTTTCTGTAAAATATTCTGACAAGTCCATAAGCCTGTTAATTTGCTTCTCATATCCATCCATACCCTGAAATTCATATTTGATAAGAATAATAGCAATTTCGGTGGCTTATTGATATTTTATATCTGTTGGTGTTTGATAACAATGAAACTAACTTTTGATCTCCACATAATCCATAATTTGAAAATATCATTGTGCCGTCCGCACTGCATCGCTTTGTCTCCTGTATCATAGCTCACATCATATGGTTTGTCTTGTTGAAAAAGGTAGTCTGGAGACATCTGATTAGTTTGAAACAGTAAGCCCTGGAATAATTAAAATTGATCTAGTGCGGCTCGAAAATTTTTCGATCAAGGGACAATGGTATTGAGCATTGGGAAGTGGGGAAGATGGTAAGGCTTACAACTTGTTTGATAAAACAAATACTGCACTGTAGCAAAGCACCCATTAGCTTATGAGGATTCCAAACCACTGAGTTGGCTCGTTCGATCCCTTTTAGTCGATAACGATGTTTCTTGGACAAGAGTAAGCCACCTCCCCAGGCAGCCTAAATACGGTTGTTTGGCTAACGAATTACGAGTATTTTTTTGCCACTCTTTTGCTTGTTTTTAAATGCAGTTTAGCTCAGCAGAAGTTAAATGAGCATCTTGTTTTAAATGTAAATTCGTTACATCGACATGTAACCAAATTTTGTGTCGTTCACAAATGTCAGCTATTTGAGGGATAGGATCAAAAGCTCCGAAAACAGTGGTGCCGGCTGTTGCAGCAACGAAAAATGGCAGGTATCCTGCAACAAGTAATATATTTAGGGGTGTTAACGATATTTGTTTTTAGCAAAACTCGTAAGTGGTGTTGCTGTTGACGAGCATGATAAACGAACAATAAACAAGTGTATATCTTGATTTTTGGAAAGTTTGAACATTTATCTACACCTTACCTTCTTGTTTACATTGTATAATTTTGGTTTCTAATGCATCCGGGATCATGCGACCAAAACAGTCAGTTGGAATGTTAAACACATTATCAGTACCGATACCCATCACTGCAGCAGCACTACCTATCGAATAGTGACTCTGAAGGCAAAATATTTTTTTTTTGAAGTGTTTGTTTACTTTTGCGGATTTTTAAAGTAAAAAAGCTGAATAATACAACAAAGATGAAATATTTTTGTAGTTTCTATAACAGAGTTTTCATTTTTCTCAGATGGTAAAACGCGGATATGGGTGGGTTGTAATCACTTCTAACGCTATTTAACACTATTGTTGCTAGAAAAGTGTTTCTATGCAAACGTTTTGTAGGTTTTCATTGAAGAATATAAAATTGATGATTTGGGAAGACAAAAACTAACATCTTCGGAGGTGAAAGCGCATAGTGTTGGTACATCAGAAGCTCCAAGGGGCTTGACACGTGGATAATGGAAGTGTCTTGCTGCATTCATTGCATAAAGATTTGAGATGGCTCCACCTAGAAAATTTTTTACTAATTTTTTGCAACAGGTTTTTGTTATCGTCTTAATCATCTTAAGTTTCTATTGAAAATGAAGTAAAATTAAAAAAATGAGTAGAGTTTTCATGATTAATTGGATGTGGACAAAATGTTATCTGTTGATTAACGCTTTTACAGGCAACTTTTTGTCACTTTTTTCATTAACAACTTTTTTGATCGGAAGCATCAGTTTTCTGCTCTGTCATTGAAAAACGTTTTTGTTAATTTTGTTTAAGTGTACAAACTGTTTTAAGTTGACCTGGCGCAAAAATGTAGTCACCATCTTCCCAACCAATTAGTTCGATCATTCTCTTGGTTACTTCCTTTTCCATTAGTATATATACCGGTGATATTTCGTAGGTAAACCTGAATAGCAGTTGCTTACTGTCATCATTAGACGGGGTTTCCATTATTTGGTCAAAAAATGTTTTTTTTTCTTCACATTTAGTCAAGTTTTAAAAACTATTTCAAGCTGGACAACGGTTTCAGTGAATGCTTTCTAAGTTTTCTGCATTTATATAAGTTACTCGCTAGAAGATAAAATATCTTCTCTTTTGTTAGTGCTGTTCCTGTTGTTGCTGTTGTTAATACTTATATTATAGAGAATATTCAAATGATTCGTACGCAGAATGTAAAAGTGAGACAATTTTCGTCCGCTCGTGACAAAATTTATTCCTATACAAGTTTAACACTTTAAAAAAAAAAAAAAAAAAAAAAAAAAAAAAAA